AAATAAAAAAGAATTTCAATGCGGGCAAAAATGATCATCATTTGTAGGCAAAGAAAATCCAAAACGACTTCCATGAACACACAGCGGGTAAAAGGAATATCTCAGGTCCCTATGTCCATCTATGAAACAAAAATTTGCACCCTTCCAAACGAAAAGTGATCAGAATACCTCGAATCACCCAGAACAGTAATACTGCACTCATCGTAGTCGATCAGATGCCACTAATACTATTATTTCGCCGTTGTTGAGGTAAATAACTCACAATTTGTACGACGCATTTTTGCTTTTCTACTGAATTGCATATTCTTAATACAACGTCATCTTCGTACGTGTAATCGATTGTCCCAAGGACATCTGCAATGCTCCCTGATTAAATTACGTAAATAATACAACAACTGTAATTTTAATACTCAGGCCTGTTTGCTGCCAAAGCTTCCATAAACTGTATTCAACCAGTCCCCCCATCCCCTTCACCTCCCTTCTCTCCCTTCCCCTCCTCTTCTCTTCACCCTCCTTCCTCCTCCAACTAGTCCCTTTTTTACAAGCAAACTTCGATCACAGAGAGGAAAATGAGTTGTAACAAAATGCTGCAACTAATAAAAGCGCTGATAACAGTAACATTTACATCAGCACCAGCACTTAAAAAGGGTTTAAAAAAGTATAAATGAGCACTGAAATTTCCATACACCATAAGCAAGAAGTATCAAAACTAGTACAATGAGAAGAATCAGAAGCAGAAGTTGGACTAATCATGTGGCAAAGAAGAAAAGTAACAGAAGGATCAAAGCAAACAGATGAATGGTACCGGAAAAGTGTTAAAAGAGCAGTAGTGGGGGTACTAGCAGGCTAAAACAATAATTCAAATCCAAGCAGTGGCATGAATACAAAAAGCATAAAGCCCTAGTGAACTGAAAAGTCGCCGGTAGCATAGACGGGAAGCCAGAATTAACGTCCACTCCGGGGATTTCAAATAAATCATCAAAACGGGCATAATCAAAAAATAAGAAATACTCTCATTCTTCAGAAATGATGATGAGTCTTGTTTTGTTTATCTTTACTCACACGGTTTTCTCGGAACGACTCCCAAGTTCCGTTACTTTTATCGCTTGATAACGTTTGGTATAAATGAATAGTCAGTGCTGTTAAAGCAAAAACCAGAAAAAAACCAGATCATTTTATATAGTGTTGGTTCGCTAAGCAAACTCAATTCGTTAATTTCAGATAATCCGCTCATATCCCAAGAGAGGTAGGCAGAAAGAGAGAGAGAGAGATATCAGCAATTCCCGAGAACCTAACTTTTTTCGCGTCAATTAAACTAGTATGATTATATTCCTCCAATTTCCTCTCCTTTCGTCCCCCTTCCCCTCCTTCCACCCCCATTTCTCAAAGCTTTCAAATTCATCTAATTTCCTCTGATAACAGATAAACAAGGAAGTAAGTGCAAAATGCTAATAGAACGTTCAAAGCCTATCACGCAAAAAAATGATACCAAATTCTTGTCAAGATGGGATTAAAAATTAAAACGTTAGAAACTTAAAATGAATTAACTTCCTCATTGTCTGGACCCTAAATTAGTTTGTGAGTCTCAAATACTATAAAAAGACACAAGAATCAAAAAGACGGCTCAGTAATTGAAGGGTAATTACACAGAGAATGAAGAAGGAACGATGAGTGGGACCCAATCCGTATTGATA